CTGTTCTCGTGAACGTGATATCTCAGGATAACTCACGGATGAAGGGATTTCAGCCAAAGGTCACGGTGACCTCACAAAGTATGTTTCTGTTTTTCATTAATGTGACGTCGTAAGATCAGCTTGAGGGAATGTCTTCAAACATTCACTTGACACACACACACACACACAGACAGTGTTCATCGTCGTCGTTTGGTGCCTGAAGGTCAAAGGTCAAGGTCACAGTTACGTTCCTGTGATATACTGGGTCCGCCCACTGATGGATGACTGAAGGTCACTCTGACCTCTCACACATGTTCTGGAAAATCTCAGGAACAATGTTCACGTGATCAACTGATGACATCAGAGGTCAGAGGTCACTGTGGCCTCATTTCCTCTTGAATGTGATTTAAAAACTGACTTGAACATTTGGACTCGAAGATGAAGTGGTTACATCTCAGTGTTCACTGTGACCTCATTCTCATAAAATCCACTTTATTTGTATTTAAACGACATGAAACAAGTTAATAATAAGAAAAGGTTTTAATTCAATTTGAATCAAGTTGAGACTTTAAGATTTAAAGAGAAACTCATCAGTTTCCACACTGAGCAGCACTTTGACTGTGGAGAGAAAAGAAATGAATCTGGGAGAAAGAGTTATGTAGAGATATGTAGACGGAAACTGCACCGGCTGGCGAGGCGTACAACTGAAGTGTGGGGATTCTAGCTATTTCCTGTTTCTGCTTTAGTTGCAGAAATAAAAACCTGCAACACGTTTCATCACAGCAGTCTTAACCTCTGGTTTGAATTGACGTGAAGCTCTCACTTGCTAAAAGCATCATCTTCCTGCTGATAGAATCCTCCGCTCTACAAGCAAATAACTACATCACCACATTTGCAAAGATGAAATGTGTCTCTACTGACACAACACACAGGGACGAATAGAAAGAAATAACTTCATGTATAACATTTGCTGAATTCACAAGAAGGCTGAAGGAATGACGAGTGAGTCGTAGACAGTGTTTCACAAAGTTCACAGAACACAAACATCTGCTGCTCAAACCTGAGCACAAACCAGAGACCTGGTGAGACGTCCGCTCGGAGGAAGCTCACGATGCAGCCGCCGTCCTGTTGAATCAACACTGGGCATGTTCAACTCTCAGCGGAGATGAGAAGAGGAGCGAGATGCCTCACTCGTTAGCTGTTTCCAACAGCAGCTCCTGGAAGAAGATAGAATACAGAAGTACTTTCTGAAAGAAGTGACGGGGGAGCCGTCTCAACTTCTTCTCATGTCTGTTGAGAGTTGCACTTCATGAGCTGTTTGCTGGGCCTCATCTGATCGGCTCCTCTGAGTGACGGAGGACCAACAGTCGAGTCCTCGTCATGTGACTGCATGATGGAGATGAAAGAGTTTCAGACACGTCTGTCTCACATGTTTGTGTTTGAACTCGCAGCTGGATTTATGAGTGGAGTCATGGTTGGGCGAGATAATTAACATTAAAACATTTTAACTTTAACAAAGAATGAACTTTTCAATGTTTTCTAAATGTGACGGGTTCGGTCTGGTCACTGACGGTGATGTGATGCGTTCATGGTCAGTCGGGACAGAACAGTTGAAGCGAGTAATGATATTTTTAAAAAGAAGCTCTGTAACCTCAGTGTTTGTGTTCAGCCTCAACGTCCTCTTTGTTTCGCTTGTTTTTTTTTATTTGTCTTGAGTTTTTTATTTTTAACTACTTTCAGCCTGAATCCTATTTTTACCTCCTGCCTCCACGTTATCTGTTGGTTTTCATGTTTCGTTGTGAAGCAGTTTGTTCTCGATGCTTTGAGATAAATGTAGAATCAGGACAGTAGAAATATAATTGGTGCCCTTTTTAAAAAATAAATCTACTATTAAGAACATGTGTGTTTTATAAAGACAGAAACTGGGTTTTTACTTGTGACACTTTACAAAAACATGATTTCAGGTGTTCAGACATGAACCACATCATATTCTCACACACACACACACATGCACACACACACACACACACACACACACACCAGTTGTGCGGAGGTGAAATACTTTGTGAGGGACAAGCTGAAACCTGGCGATTGTAAATTTAAACGAGTTTTCTCTGTGAACAAGTTTCAACCAGACGAAAACCTGCAGGCTGTTGAACTGAGGAACTTTCCTCTCCCTGTCGAAATTCACTGAGATGGCAATAAGTGCTCAGTCTGAACACCAGCATCAAGAGCCTTTTATCCCTTCTCAAGATTAACTGTACACTTGTTCAGTGTTGAACTAGTTGGTGTAGAGAACAGTCAACCCTTGGGCTGTGGTTTTAAACTGCTCATGCAGGCGGGTGTCTTCAGAATGATGGTTTAAATAAAATGTTTTTTGAAAGCACAGATTACAGCTGCAGAACTTCATGTAGAATCTTGAAGTCTCCTTCAGTATCAGTCAGACACTGTTCAAGTGTTGGGAGCTCACTCACACTTACTTTGTGTTTGACTCTTAACCTGTCAAAATAACGAGTCACATTCATTTAAGAGTTTTGTGATTTATCACTCAATAAAAACGTGTTTCCAGGCAGTTTTGAAGGTGACGGTACATTTGACAACAGAAACCGGGGGAGAGACAGTAAATGGACCAAACACCTTCATGTGGAAGACCAGCACACGTGTCATTAGCTCTGTCAAGGAGGTTATATTTTCACCCCTGTCCCTCCACAGTGCCTCAAAGGCATTTCTTCAAATTTGGTGCAAACATTCGCTTTGACTCAAAGATGAACTGAGTAGATTTTTGTGGTCTAAGGTCACAGTGAGTATAGATGTGAAGATCTTTAACAACTGATGTGAGATATTCAGTGCAGTTTGGATTTAAGGGACTGATGGTCCTGGAGCAGGGATGATACTCTCTCCTCTTCTTCTCTCCTCAGAAAAAGGTGGTGGAGCAGCTGAGGAAGGAGCTGCTGGTGAAACAGGAACCTGAGGCGAAGATACAGCTGCAGGTCCAAACTCCTCCAGGAGGTGGCGACATCAAGCCAGTCAACCTGCTGCAAAACCAGCAGATACCTGGAGGACTGCAGCAGGTCGGCCACACACACACACACAAAGCAGAGAGACTTCATGTAGTTTTTGTTCATAAAAGTAAAGAAGAAACTACATAAAGATGGTTCCCAATACATAACACAGTGCTGCAGAGGGCGCTGTTGCTCAGTAAAACTCTAGTTAAGCTGCTTTGTTTGACATTCAGCAGTGACAGAGAGAAATCCAGTGTGGCCACAGTTAAACGCAACAAACCTGGATTCAACAGTTGCAACTGGGAAATGTAGGAAACGTAACTGAAGAAGGGAGTTCAATACGTTTTCCAGCAGTGACAGATGAAGGTCATGGCTTCACTCTTCCTCCGCAGACGCTGACAGTGACGCCGGTCCTCACCACAAAGACGCTACCTCTGGTGCTGAAAGCTGCCACCACGCCCACCCTGTCTGGCACCGTCCTGTCGCAGCGCCCGCCTACTCTCGCTATGGTAACCACAGCTATCTCCAAACCTGACTCCCAGAACACTCCCATCAACCTGCAGGTGGCCAGCAAGCTGACCAATCAGTGCTCAGAGCCTGTGCGACTGGTGTCCAAGAACGCCATTGTGGTAAGACCCTCCAGTTCCCGCCATCGTCCAGTCACATGTCCTCATCGCCTTCCTCTAGTCTGACCAGCAGTGATCAGTGTTGTGGTCCGCGGACAGCTCCTGGATGTAAATGAGCGTTTTGACAGTGGTCTGTAGAGCTGTGGCGTTTTAAAGCAAACTCGCTCTGAGTGACAATGTTTCTCTCATCACGTGTCACGTGCTCGAGCAGGCTGTGGTGAGAGTGGTGGCCTCGTAGCTGCCAAACTGTCTGTCATCGTGGACCAACGTCACAGTGACCTGATATTATTGTGAATGTAACATGTCAGGAATACGTGGAGTGTCATTGTACCTGGAACCGGGTACCTTTTACAAAATTTAGCATCCACTTCGGAGGAAGCTCTTTAGGAAAAAGCTAAAAGTGACAAAGAGCAAACAGCAGGTTTTCATGTGAATCATCAGAAGTAGAAAGCTGCTCGGCTTCAGTGTCCCAGAGCTCTGTTGTTGTCACAGACCTGTTGCTATTGGCTGGTAGAGCTGTCAGAGGAGATGTGAACTAACAGCAGCGGACATGTCAGTCAAGCATCAGCAGACATGTACGTGCAACAGCAGCACAGATCCACAATCTGCTGTGGTTTTGTCTCAGGTGCAGGCCACCACCACCACCACCACCACCCAGCCAATCAAAGTTCCTCAGTTTGTCCCTCCTCCTAGACTGACGCCTCGACCCACCTTTCAGCCACAGGTGCGTCCCCTGTAAGACCCGCCTCCAACCCTTACCCCCCAGATCAGTGTGTGTGGCCCACCTGAGGTGACTTGCTTACTCTCCAGCAGAGGGCAGGAGTGCACCAAAGCAAACACTCATGCCTTGCTCCATGGCACTAAAACATTGTTTGCTCTGTGCTGCCTCTACTCATCTTCTCTCCTCTCGTTGTGCTTTTTTTGATTTTCCAACTGACCTGTGAACAGGTTTTTATCAAAGGTTTCCTGCTTGTGTGAGTGTGTGTTTACCTTCTGTGGTAAGAACTTGTTTTCCTGCAGCTTTGTGGTATTTTGTGTTCCTGGCTGTTGGTGTGTTTTAACCCAGTAGGTGCAGTCATGTTGATGTGTTGCTGTGCTGAGCGACGTCACTGGGAGCTCTGGCTGCTGTCTTGATCAAACCAGGCAGCAGCAGAACAACTAGTCCAGTTTCACTTAAATCATAGAAAACTGTAGTTGAGACGTTTTAGAGACGTTGTACATCAAATGTCCAGCATTGTTGTTATACATCACTTGGTTTTAAGGTTAATGAAAGATCTGTCTTTAGGATTATCAGTGAAGAGGTCATAGGCCAATGTAGAAGTCTTAGTGAATACGGTTAAATAGAGCACTGTTGTATTAAACTACACTCACCATAGTAACAATCTGGTATAATGAAGTTTAATACAGTATGATGCAAATCAGCTGACCCGATAACCGCGACAGATACGCCCTGAGCAGCAGTTCACCGGTTCAACTCCCAGATGGTCTGACCATTTATCCCACTCTCTCACCCCCTTTCCTGTCTCCCATTCATTGTAAATAAAGTTCTGTTTTAAAAAAGTAGGTAAAAGTTCAGTGTGTACGATTCAGGTCAAAGGAGCTTTTGGCAGAAATGTAATATAAAATAATCCAAGTGATGTTTTAACTAGTTTCATCTAAACTGTATGATTTGTGTTCCTTAATCTAGAATGGGCACTTTACATTCACATACTTTACGTTTACATACTCTACGTTTACATACTTTACATTCACATACTTTACGTTTACATACTCTACGTTTACATACTTTACATTCACATACTTTACGTTTACATACTCTACGTTTACACACTTTACATTCACATACTTTACATTCACATACTTTACGTTTACATACTTTACATTTAAATACTTTACATTCACACACTTTACATTCACATACTCTACGTTTACATACTTTACATTCACATACTTTACATTCACATACTCTACGTTTACATACTTTACATTTAAATACTTTACGTATACATACTTTATGTTTAAATACTTTACGTTTACATACTTTACATTTAAATACTTAGGTTTAAATACTTACATTTACATACTTTATATTCACTTACTTTACATACAAATACTTGACGTTTACCTACTTTACATAC